TGGATGGTGGCATATGTGGGACACCCTCTTCCCAACACTGCCTGCGTGCCATACTGCTTCCATGCTCTCCCTGCCCCTGGCATGGATGAGTGGCAGGATGCGAGGTGCCCCCCAGTCTCCTGGGGAGGGAGTGCAGACCGTGGCAGATTTCACAAATGGCACGTCTTCTTGGAATGGCATTTTACTAAAATTTGAGGAGAAACATTTTCGAATGTTAAAACAAGGATAGCGAGCCCTGGCTGGTGGATGGAGCGTTGGCCTGCACACCAAAGGGTGTGGCTTCGATGCCCAGTCAAGGGCATGTACCTGGGTTACAGGTTTGATTCCTCAGCCCTGGTCAGGGTGCGTGTGGGAGGCAACCAATCGATGTCTCTCTCTCCCTTCCACTCTCTCTAAAAACCAATGGAAAAAATATCCTCGGTAAGGATTAACCAAAAAACACACCGAGGATAATATGACGTCAAATGCAAAACTTTGCCTGAATTTTAAAAATAAAATGACAACCTCAAAGACGTTTCAAGCTAGTGGCCAACGCCGAACAACCTGGTTGGCTGCCTTAGGGACCGCGTGGGGTTCAGTGCTGCTGGCTGAGCACAGTGCGAGCCCGGCCGGTAGGGCCAGGCGAGCGGGGCCTCTGGGTGTCTTGCTGGAAAGGGTGGGCCTCCTCCCAGGTCCCGGCCACTCTCGAAGCGGGCAGGCAGGTCTTGTGTGGGCTGAAGCTTTGACACAGACCCTGGCCCTACAGGTATTATCGGGGGACCCACGGGGTCATCGTGGTTTATGATGTCACCAGTGCCGAGTCCTTCGTCAACGTCAAACGGTGGCTTCATGAAATTAACCAGAACTGTGACGACGTGTGCCGAATATTAGGTGAGACTGGGCTCACTGGCGTGGGGGCAGTGGGAGGGAGGGTGCGCGGGCTGCTCCTGCAGGACCAGCTGACTTTGCTTTGCCTTCCAGTGGGGAATAAGAATGATGACCCTGAGCGGAAGGTGGTGGAAACAGAAGATGCCTACAAATTCGCCGGGCAGATGGGGATCCAGTTGTTTGAGACCAGTGCCAAGGAGAATGTCAACGTGGAAGAGGTGAGACCAAGGCCGGAGCAGGGAGAGGGAGGGAGTAGGGCCGAGCTCTGCTCCACCACCACAGCCCTGCTCCTCCCCCTGCTAGCCTGCTGCGGGCCCCCAGGTGGCTGACAGAACATGTCATAGTAGCTGCCAGGCCTTTAAAGTCTGAGCTCACATCTGAACAGTCCTCTCAGGTAAATTATTCCATTTCAAATGGGAAACTGAGGCTCCAACTTCAGGAACAGTGCCCAGCTCCACACCACAGCCATGCAGTGTCCACTCAGTCCTCTGCCGCACTGACCCTGCCCCGGCCACTGCTGTCCCCTCTTCCTGCTTTCGGGCTTCTCTGCGGCCTTGGCTTCCAGAGCTCCGGTGACACCTGCTGTGGACACATCCCCCTGCGGGGCAGGCTAGAAAGCAGGCGGGAGCCTGGGAGAAAGCCGGGCCTTTTGCCTCGAGCCCAGGCTGGCCGCACTCAGGGCCTGGGCGAGTCCTGCCCATGGTGTGTGGAGTCCAGAGGCCCAGGGAAGCTGGATCCCCACTGCCTCCTGGACGCCCTGCGCCTCAGTCGGGCTGGGATCACAGGACGGGCCTGTCCACTGGGAGCCTGTGGGGTGGGGCCCGTGTGACCTTGGGCGGAGCCTACGGGCTCTAGGCTCCATGTGTTCCTCTGTAGATCTGGGGGGAGAGTCCCGCCCCTGGGGTTGTGAGGGAAAAGTGAAGCAGATTGTCAAGTGCTTGATGATCCCGTTCCTGGTGGAGTGGAGGACAGGACTGTGGCTGGTAGGTGAATCCTGGCAGCACAAGGGTGTCTTGGGGTCTAGGTTCTAGGCTGGCTGTGCTGTGAGGTGGCAGGGCCTGGGCAGGCTCTGGGCCCTCTAACCAGTCACTAGTAGGGGCACCTTTATCTGTCTTGTCCAGAGAGTAGCTGAAGGAAAGGGGTTCTTTCTCTCTTTAAAAGAAAGATTGGAAAATCCTGAGAGTGACTTCTCCAGGACACAAGCTCATTGGTCTTTGGTGTTCCTCTTTGACCTCTACACGTCACCACCTCCTTCTAAAAGGGTGCGAAGACACACAGACCAAAAAATTCACAAGTAGAAACAGAAAGCTGGGCCCTGGGAGGTGGGGAGGTGGCCTTGCCGGCCAGCAGCGGCAGCGCAGCCGAGACGGGCCTCCGCACCAGGTCTGAGGCCTGCCCTGCCTCCTTCATCCTCACAGATGTTCAACTGCATCACAGAGCTGGTCCTCCGAGCAAAGAAAGACAACCTAGCAAAACAGCAGCAGCAGCAACAGAACGACGTGGTGAAGCTCACGAGGAACAGTAAACGAAAGAAACGCTGCTGCTAATGCCGCGCAGCCCCCTGCAGAGACTGCACTGCGGCCACTCCCTGGCCCGAGGCCCGCCGGGCTCCTCGGGGGACAGTCTCAGTTTCGTGCCGTTATTTAAGAATTCTCTCCACGTTTTTGTATCTGGAGGCGCCATCGGCACTTCCTCCCCTCCCCCTCGAGTACCAAGAAGGTGTTGGACAACCTGCCCTTCCCTTTTGGTGCCCCTGCCCCCTGGCCAAGGCGCCTGGGCCCAGCGAGGATGCTGCCAGCGAGCGGACTGATAACCCGTTTGTACATAATGTATATTGCTTTAACCGGCCGTTTCACCCTCGTCCTGTTCTGGCTTTGCCTCCCTAATGCCAGCCTGCTGCAACAGACCCTCCCTCCCCATCCCATCTTACCGCCAGCAGCTTCCTGAGGAGATGGGATCGAGTTCTAGCCATGTCTTTTGCCAACCTGGGCTGGTGGAGTGGGCTCCACGTTCCTCATTCTCTCCTGCAGGCCATCGCCGACTTCTGTACCTGGCAGGTAGGGCCTTGCCCAGCTCCCCGGCCTGTCCATCTCCTACCCATCTGGCAGTTGGGGGGCCTGGCCTTGATGTAGGCCTGGGGTTCCCATTAGAGGCCCTGCCCTCAGCTGACCCAGCCCGTCGGTTCCACAGGAGTCACTCCTGCCCTTTGGCCAACAGATTTCTTGTCCTGCCTTCTAGACGCCTCTAAGCTATAAACCCAGGGGAGCTGTGCTTCTATTTATACCAACCTGTTTCAGTTCCAGCAGAAAGACAGGGTGTGTTCACACAGGGACGGGGCTTAGGAGCATTATTTTAACAGCTAAGAAAATGAAGCCAAATCAAACGAATTAAGTTCCTCACACTTCTTTTCTCTTCCTGAGGTTCGGTTGGCACAGCAGCAAGAGTTGTGGCCTCCCCTTTGGGTCCAGTGTTTGTAGAAAAAGTGAATGGCTTCCTGTCATTGTGGGGCCGGGCTCTTGGCAGAGCCTCTCTGCCTTCCTGGATGCTGCTTGGTGGGAAGAAGGGGCCTCACCCTTGTCTGTGTGGGTCCAGGGCCTCCCACCGAGTTCCTGGGTCTTCGATGTGGGGAGTGGGTGCTGCTGGACTGTGCGGATGCTGCCTCTTGCCTCTGAGCTGGGTGGCAGGCAGCCTCAGGTCACTGACAACCGTCTTGGTGCAAAGGTAGCACGAGGATTCCTCAGCAGGTGGGAAGGAATGGCAGCTGCGGCTGGGAGCCAGCCAGCCTTGACTCCCCTGGTCCCTCGGAGGAAAAACCAGGGTTATCTACACTTGATCACTGTCCCCTCTCCTCCTCCTTGGGACGCTTCGTTCACCTTTCCCCTAAAAGGATCACGTAACGTGGGAATAATTTATTTCAACACCGTGGTGTGTTTTACTAGATTTCCTTCCCTGGCGATTTCCAGCTGAAGCCCTGACTGGACAATCACATCACAGATCACACTGCAGATTTTCCTTGTTAACACTGTTGGGGGGGTTTTTAATCAAAACGTGGGGTTCCCCACTTCCCCAAACTGCCAAAACACTGTGGTTCCACGTGACAGGCCTTCACTTGGGAGCTGCAGGATGAGTTGGGGGAGTTGTGTGGGCCTGGGAGGCGGTGCTGTGGAGGGTGGCTGATCATGGGTCCTGGGTGGCAGCACACTCCACTCTGAGCATGAAGGTGGTGCTGTATGGCAGTGCTTGCAAACTCAAGCAATAAGAGGAGGGGGTCCTGGAAGTTTCCAGCCCCGGCTAGAAACCCCCACGGCTCTGGCAGCTGGGTGTCCAGGCCCAGGTGGCGGGTGATTTTGGTGACGACTGTGCCTGTCCCGCTGAGTGTTGTTCGCATGAATGGGGGGTGGGGGTGGGGCGCTCACAGGGCTGGGCCGATGTCCTGGTGGACCTGATGCGAAATCCTGTCGAACAACAAAACTTTTAAATGGTTTGCTAGGATTATTTCTGTATTGAAAGTTTCTAATTATGCTTTTTTAAAAAAGTACTAAAAATAAAGGTTCAAGCTGCCAAATTTTCTTCAGGGCCTGTTTCCTCTCCTCCAGCTGTGCTCTGGGTGGGCCTGGCTTCCACCATTGTGTCCAGCTCTGGTGGGTTCTTGCCTGAGGCCCAGGGACTGAGAAGCCCAGTTCACTTTGTCCATGGAAGGCTGGTCCACGTGGAGGTTCTCTGGTTTGATCATTGGCTGAGCGCAGTGCGAAGATGCCAGGGAAGCGCCCTGTTTCTCTCACGTCCGGAAGGGTGCAGTGGAAGCTTCGCCTGCCTGACTTCGTTCGGGCTTGAAGTTTCTGCCAAGCTGGAGGGCCTGCCCGTGGCTGGGCAGCGGCAGCCTTCACTGGCAGGGAGCCCAGCCGGGGTGGGCGTGGGGGCAGCGCCTTCGGCCACTGCTCCCAAAACAGCTGCCACTGACAGGGTGCCTCCACCCTCCCGGGGAGGTGCCCCTTCCTGGCTGAATGCACTGGTTGGGTCCCTGTGTATGAGGGGGCTCACTGTTGCTGCCTCTGCATGCCAGCCAGTGGCGGCCCTGAAAGGTAAGTTGCGTTCTAACACCCCTTTCGGGCACCAATGACAGAGGCAGGAAGCTCTGTAGAAATTCAATTTATTCTGAGACTATTTTCAAAAGAAGCAGTGGTGTGCTGTTTTTCTAAAAATATGCATTTATAGATTTATATATAATATGTATATTATAAAATCCATACATGTATTTACATGATTGCTACATACAAAAGTACAGCACTGTGGTATGTACATATCTATAGGTACATTCTTTCCGCTCATCCCTCCTGGGCTGCTCCCAGGTGAGGCAGCTCGCGGCTGGCTCAGCCGGTGCCTCTGAGCGAGGGCCTCCTCAGAAGGTGCGTGGCTGCCGAGGGAGCAGCAGTTGCAGGACTCGTCCTTCCGCAGGCCTGGTGGGCAGTATCTGGAGGCATCGCCCGTGGTGACAGTGCTGCCCTTGAGGTGGAGGTGGCTGCAGAGCCTTCTGGGGCCATTCTGTGTCCTGGACTTGCTTGGCTGAACCAAGAACTTGTATAGGTGAGGGGAGCAGGAGGCTGGGAGGCGGGGACCCCTCCCAGCCCTGGCCCATGAAGGGAAAGGGCTGGATGGCTCAAGCCTGCAGAGGACCTGCAAGAAGACTGGCTGAGGGGGAGGCCTGCACTGGCACAGGCCGGGAGGGAGAGCAGTGGCGCTGGGGGCAGGCCCTTCTTCCTCTGGGCTCGGATGGCCTCGGCCAAGCCTTTGCAGAGCCCACTGTGGCCGAGCGCACGAGAACAGCCCCAGCCGTCAGGCCCCACAGGCTGGGTCTCCTGCCTAGAGGTGCTCCTGACAGAGGTGCATGCACATGGGTGAGGGGCCGCCTCCCCTTACTCCCTGGGCCAGGGCTGGGGAGGATGGAGGCTCAGGCCCGGGCGTGGTGCCCTGCAGGCTCGGCCCCGGGGGCAGCCTCCTGAGGACGCAGAGAGGGCGTGTTTCTCCCGCTCCCCAGATCCCACAGGGAGGGCAGCAGCCTGGGGTGGGGCACGGGAGCCACTGAGGGGTGGGTCGCTCTGGGCAGCCTGAGCCCCTGCTCAACAGCAGCGGATCCTAGGGGTGCCCAGGCTGGGCTGGGCTGGGCCATGGGGACAGGCTCCTGCCTGTCCCTCTACCCAGGGTGGCCTTCAGAGGCCAGGCAGGCTCTCCTGGAGGACATGGCCCCAGTGCGGGCGGGCAGCGCCCCAGAGCCCAGCAGGGGAGCCCTTGCACATGAACACAGTGCTCTCGGCCTCACCCGCACCCTTTCCTCGCCTCCAGTCCACCCGTCCTCGCTGGCCTGGCTCCTCCCAACTCAAATTTTCCTGAAGAATGAGAATAGCCGTTTGCCTTCAGCGGTGCTGGGCTCGACCCCACGCCCTGCGCCACGGGCCCTGGAGAGGGCAGCAGCAGGCCGGCTCCGTTCCTTCAGGTGCGTGTCCATCAGCTGCCGGTCAATGACCCTGTGCATGTCATCCTGCAGAGAGCAGAGCGGAGGGGCTGAGCAGGGCAGAGTTCTGACGCCGGGGGCGGGCAGGGAGGTGACACGTGTGATGAGGTGAGATGAGGATGAGGGAGGAGATGAGGGAGGGGCTGCCCCAACCAAGAAAGCAAGTGTAGATGCCAGGACACAGGAGCCACGCACCTCATCTCAGGGCTTGAGCTCGCCTCTCCACAGTGCTACCCCTCGGCTGACCCCACAGACGGCCAGAGTGCCTGCAGCTGGTATCTTCCTGTCTGTCTCCACGGTGACCCGCCCTCTGCCCTGCCTCCGATGACCTCTGAGGCTGGGTGGATGCCTGCCCCTGCTGGCAACCTCAGCTTGCCAGCTCTCCAGCCCAGCTTTCTGATTATTATCGGCCTGAGCTACCTCACCGGCAATTGCATGTGACAAGGACACAGACTCCCTGGGTGCCTCCCTTGCCTGCCAACAACCACACGCACAGCCTCTCCCTGGGAGGCTCCCATCACCGCCTCAGGGCTCGTCTTGCTCAACAGGCCCAGGTCCTTAGCCTCCTCACTGGGGGAGCACCTTTCCCCTTCCAATTTGGGCCAGTTGCCTAGAAAATGCCCCTCATCCGACTCCACCTTACAGAGCAGCAGCTCTGACCTCAGAGGAGCCTCTGGACGCAGCGCCACTCTATTCTAGTTGCTAAACTCCGATTCTGTGCAAGACTCCTTTTGACAAGGCATTCTGCCGCCAACACAGCAGGAACACTGTTGGTTTAGAAATCCAGGCAGCCCTGTCTAGGCCACATCAGCAGGAAGCATAAGCATCTCGAGCCCTGCGGGCCCTGGGATGTCCTGGCAAAAGCCTGAGCCTTGGGCTAGGGTTGCCAAGGTCAGGCAACCACTCACTGGAGGAGCGCAGAAGTGGGCTGCTGGCCCCTCCCTGAGCAGCTTGTCCATCTACACTCTCACCCAAGCTCTCACCAGTGGTCACGCCAATGTCTGCAGGTTTCGGTGTGAAGCAAAGACTTCTTAGCCATCACCAGGCGGCCGCCCGGCCGGCAAGGAGCTCTTATTCTCTCCCTTGGCCACATCCTGTTCTCCCTCCCACCTCTCCTTCCATCCGACTGGCGTCATACTCCTCGTCCTCCCTGCACCCTCCTCCTCTCAGAAATAGGAGACATGCTCCCTGCTTGCAGCCCAGTCCCCGTTCTAACCCACAGCAGTGCCTGCACGTAGGCCGCGCTCAATAGGATCTACGTGGTTAAATGCAACATCAGGAACCGCAGAGCGTCCTGCAGGAAGGAGCCCTTTCAGAGCGGCCAGTGTTTGTGCTGGCACATCGCATACCGCATTTTCATGCTTATCTCACTTTAGAACAGTGGTTCTCAACCTTCCTAATGCCGAGGCCCTTTAATACAGTTCCTCATGTTGTGGTGACCCCCAACCATAAAATTATTTTCATTGCTACTTCATAACTGTAATTTTGCTACTGTTATGAATCGTAATGTAAATATCTGATATGCAGGATGTATTTTCATTGTTACAAATTGAACATAATTAAAACATAGTGATTAATCACAAAAACAATATGTAATTATATATGTGTTTTCCGATGGTCTTAGGCGACCCCTGTGAAAGGGTCGTTCGACCCCCAAAGGGGTCGCGACCCACAGGTTGAGAACCGCTGCTTTAGAACATCTCTCTCTCTCTCTCTCTCACACACACACACTCACGCTCGAGCATAAATAAGCTGCTCATAATCCCACACCTGCCGTTATCTCTGTGAGCAAAGTGACCCAATTATGAGGAGGTGCTACCAAGAAACCAGGCTCAGCCTGTCAGTACCGGGCCACATGCTGCCCAATTCACGGGCGTGGTGATGACGGGAGGAGAGGCGGGGTGTGATGGCATGGCGCACAGTACAGACATGATGCCGGACTCCAGCACACAGACGCGTGGGCCACGAGGTGCGACAGGGACGGGACTTTCATGGTAGAGGGGGTAAGGGTGGGTGGGATGAGAGCGCAATCTCACCTCAAAGGCAGGAGGGGTGTACAACTAAAGCTGTTGATACGGGAACTGAGAAAGGCCACTAGATCAGAAACCAAAGGAGCCAGATAGTAAAAAGCCCTGAGGAAGCAAACTGTAGCCAGGAGAGAAGAGAAAAGAACAGGACGTAAGCCAGGGACCAGCTCTGGGCGTGGAGGGAGGGTCACAGCTCAGGGCCCTGCAGCAGCAGTCCATGCCCCTCCACAGGGGGCTCGCCTGGAGCCACAGGTGTCTGAATGGTCACACCCATGTCCTGAACTGTACTACGTGGCCTCGTTAACAAGAGCCAGGACAGCCCTGGGTCAGGCCTGAGGGGTGGGCTGCTGGCTCTGAAAGCGGCGGCCCCAGAGGGATGCACTGGCTCTGTCCCCGGCTCGCACCAGGATGGACTCTTCCGCAAAAAGAAGCTGGCCTTGGAGAAAGGGAAGGGCAGCAGCTGCAGCGACTTCAGGGCTGCTGAGCTACACCCGACTGTTTTCGTTCAGTCATATAGGGTTCCTGGGCCCGCCACCTGAACAGCTGTTTCTTTCTAGCCGATTTAACCAAAGCTGCGAAGGAGGCCCCTGTGCCGAGCCTGGAGGTCGCCACAGCCCCACGCAGCACAGCCTGGGCCCCGCTGCTCCTGAGAGCATCCCCAGGCATCCTCCCGGGGACGGGGAAGCAGGACTCTGACCTTCAAGGTGAGACAGGGCTACTGCTCACCCATGCACACCGGACCCTCCAGTACCAAACCCTCCTCCTCACACGCTGCCTGCATTCAGACCCCTCCGGAGCCTCGTCTTCCCCGCCCTTACCTGCCAAGCCTCGAGCTGCTGGAGAGGTTGAGTTTCTGCTGAATGGCATCCAGCAGCTGGCTGTCAGAGACATCATGTCCATCTTGCACTTGGCGAGTTCTAGCTCCACAGCGTTCTTCCTGGAAACAGACAAGCCGTGAGCATGGACACCTCGAGCGGCTGGTTCTTTACCACCGGATGAGGAAACGGCTCTGACCCTAAACTCGTAACAAACAGTAACAGTAACCACGATGTTACTCTGGGAGGCTGGGCAGTTCGCAGCATGCTTTCAGACTGTTCTCCATTTTCCTAAGCAGCCTGGGGAGGATTCTGTCACCCACACTCACGGACAAGAAGTGGTTAAGAGGGCTAGACCCCCGAGGCCTCACTAGGGAGCTGCTAATCCTTCTCCCAAAAGGCCAGTCTCTGTGAGAGGTGGGGACTTGTCCTCCTGGTCCCCCCTTTTCACTAGCAATACCCCCCTTAAGGGATCTAAGAGATACATGTGCAAAGGTGGCCACAGAGTGGGATGATCACAGCTCAGCTAGTCACAGAAGCCAACGACGAGGGGCCTGGTGGTAAATTACTCACCATGTATTTGGACCTGGGGGCGGAAAGCACCAGAAAACAAGGTCAGATATACCTGCTTCGGAAAAGAAGAAGTGCCTGTGTGTATACAAGGTCACAGGCAAAAATGTCTACTTTGTTATCTCTGGATGATGATCATTGATGGGGAAGTGCTCACACACACTTTGGCATTTTCACATTCTGAAATGTTTACACACACTACTTCGTAAACCTTGCCCAACACTGCTAAGTTCCAGCTCAATGCAAAATAATATTAATGGGGAGGGGGTGGGGGAACGGGCATAAAAATGCAGACTAACGGGCCGCCTGTGCAGAGGCGGCACTGGTTGCCTCGCTGCCAAAATGAGCATCACTTAGTCCTTGTCTTCATCCCTTTTGCATTCGACACGACGAAGACTCGCAAAAGTGTCCTCCTCGTACAGGGCCAGCGACCCGAGGACGACAGCTGGAGGACCCGCCTGCAGAGGCCGCCCAGCTCCGGCCTCAGGAACGCACCGGGCTAAGCATGGCTGGAAGGCGGGGCAGTTGGGGTAGAGAATTCAGGCCACCACCATGACCGTCACTTCCTCACTGGCCTCCAGTCCACCGAGCAATCAGTCACCTCCCCTGACACCCCATTGCCCCATTGCTCAAGTGCTGACTAACGCCCCGCCCGCCCTTCCTAGAGAAGTCGCTCAGGACAACCGCTGGGGTTGCCGCCCGCAATGCGGCTGCAGGGACCAGAGCGGAGCCTGTCCAATGAGCGCTGGCGCCTCAGACACCCCAGCTGCCACGTCACACGTCACGCCCGCTGCTATTGGCCAGTGGCAAAGAGCGGAACTGGAGCCGGTTGCCACGGACGCCCAGCCTGTCGGAGAGGATCCCAGCGCCCCACCCCGCTGCCGCCTCTGGAGTTCCCGGGCGTCTCCCGGCAGGTGGCGCCACGAGCAACCTGGAGACCCGGAAAGTGCTGACTAACGCTGCGGGCGGAGGGCGAGGCCGAGCTCGGAGGAGGGGTCTCCTTCCCCCGGCGCCTGAGGCAGGGCCCGCCTCCCCACCTCCGATCTGGCCTCAGACTGCACACTGGGGATCTTGGTGCTTGTCATTCATGAGAAGCCCCAAGCCAGAAAGCAGAACTGCAGAAACCACTAACGCAAACAGCAACCAGAGATGTAAAAGGAATTATTTCAGAGGCTAGAATTCCTCATTTAAATGAAAACACTAGCAACGGACTCCTTTTTGTTTTTATAAGCTGGATTGCTAGCCCTCGAGTTTGTTTGTGTTTAGTGAGGAGATCACATTAGGGAACCGTAGGATTCTGGCAGCCCAGGAGCAGAGGGTGCCTCCAGACAACCTGACCTCGGCCTGGTAACTCCTGGGCCAATCCCCGGGCTGAGAATGCGGGACTTGCAGACCTCCTCACTCTCCTTTCTTCTCTGCAACCCTTTGCGGGTTTCTGCCTAGCTGGGTTCCCAACCTACAAACTTGAACACCCTTGAATAATATCATGTATTTTTAGCCAAAACCTCCAGACTCTTTTTGAAAGTTCATTGGTCAACATATAGGTTTGTGAGCCTCACTGAGTGTAAAATTCCTAAATGAACTGATATGGGGTTCTGACCAGATAGAGACCAAAGGTAAAACTAAAATGATGAAAATGAATGAAGACAACAGAAAGGTGGGGAGGAGTGGGTGAGGAAGTGAGAAGGGGAAAGGTGTAGGGGATTTTAAAGTCAGAAATTAAAATGTATCCTATTATTCTCTTAAAAGGCATATTTACAATCTGTTTCAAATGAGCTCCTTTTGGTTCCTGACAAACAGCCACATGATAAGGGGAAAGGATGTGGGGACAAGAGTCGGAGGCCTGAGGTGGAGGCCAGTGATCACCACTGGGCTGTGATCCTGGGGAAAGAATCTGTGTTCTCATGTGTAAAACTGGGATTAAAATTTTCTACCCCTTGCTGTGGCTGGGAGCATTAAAGGATAAAAGTGTTTTGCAAACAGCAAAGTGATGCACAAATGTTATTAATGTGTTGCAAAGCACTCTAAAAGCAGATACAATTTTAGAACTTTGTATCTCCTTCCACTCAGTGAATAGGGTATAGACTGAGTGCATGATAAAGAAATAATTTAGGCCCTAGCTGGTATGGTTCAGTGGATAGAGCGCTGGTCCTCGGATTGAAGGGTCCCAGATGCTATTCAGGTCAAGGGCATGTACCTCGGTTGCAAGCTCGATCCCTGGCCCTGGTTGGGGCATCATGTGCAGGAGGCAACCAATTGATATGTTTCTCTCACATCGATGCTTCTTTCTGTCTCTCCCCCTCCCTTCCACTCTTTTTTTTAAAAAAAACATTTTATTGATTTTTTACAGAGAGGAAGGGAGAGGGATAGAGAGTTAGAAACATCGATGAGAGAGAAACATCAATCAGCTGCCTCCTGCACACTCCCTACTGGGGATGTGCCCGCAACCAAGGTACATACCCTTGACCGGAATCGAACCTGGAACCCTTCAGTCCGCAGGCTGACGCTCTATCCCAGGGGTGGGCAAACTTTTTGACTCCAGGGCCACAATGGGTTCTTAAACTGGACCGGAGGGCCGGAACAAAAGCATGGATGGAGTGTTTGTGTGAACTAATATAAATTCAAAGTAAACATCATTACATAAAAGGGTACGGTCTTTTTTTTTTTTTTAGTTTTATTCATTTCAAACGGGCCGGATCCGGCCCGCGGGCCGTAGTTTGCCCACGGCTGCCTGCTCTATCCACTGAGCCAAACCGGTTAGGGCCCCTCTCTCTCTTAAAAAAAAAAAATCAATGGAAAAATATCCTCGGGTGAGGATTAACAACAATTTAACACAAGATGGGGATAGGGAAATATGTGTTTTGCTTATGTACTTCCAAATTTTTTGAATGTAAGAGAATGCATTTATACTTTTCTTCTCAGCTCAAGAAAACACACATTAAAAAGTTACACAGTTTCCTGGAAATACAGCAGACAGAGAAAAATGTTAAATGACACTCTGGGGATGCAATCACAGTCAGAATGCAAACTCTGAAACAACCCAGTTTCTTCAATGAATAAATGCAATATTCAAAAAATGGAAGACTTTGGGGACATATCGAGTAAATGGCGTCTCTGGAGTCTGAGTCTAATTAATTACAAAAAGATTCACGGGACAACGGGGAAGACCTGAACCCCGGAGACTAGACGACATAAGAAATTACTATGACTTTTTTCAAGTGTGGTAACTGCACTGCGGGTTGTGTTTTACAGAAAGTGCCCTTTTCTGGCAGAGATCCACACGGACGTGTTTATAGGTGAGCGGACAGGATGTGCTGTGATCTTCTTCAACACCCTCCAGTGGGGAGGTGGGTGAGGGTGGGGCTGTCAGACACTAGCCACATGCTGATCGGTGTTGAAGCTGAGAGATGGGTAAGAAGGGATCCAGCTTGTTTTCTACTTCTGTGTATGTTTGAAAACGTCCATAATAAAAGTTAAAAAAACCCACCCCAAAATAATAATGTCCAGGTAGATATCTATAGATATAAAAGCCTAAGTGACTGTCCGGCTGCTCGACCGGTAGCTATGATGGTACCGGGGGCAGACACTCAATGCACAGGCATGGAAACATGGAACAGACTGAGGAATCTCAGAGGGAAGGGAGGAGGGCGGAGGGCGGGAGGAGATTAACCCAGTGGTTCTCAACCTTCTGGCCCTTTAAATACAGTTCCTCATGTTGTGACCCAACCATAAAATTATTTTCATTGCTGCTTCATAACTGTCATGTTGCTACTGTTATGAATCGTAATGTAAATATCTGATATGCAGGATGGTCTTAGGCGACCCCTGTGAAAGGGTCGTTCGACCGCCAAAGGGGTCGCGACCCACAGGTTGAGAACCGCTGGATTAACCAAAGATCTTATATGCATACTAGTGGCCTGTGCACGTGGGGTCCCTCGGTCTGGCTGCGGGATCGGGCTGAATCTGTGCACTGGGCCTCCAACATCCCCCAAGGGGTCCCAGATTGTGAGAGGGTGCAAGCCAGGCCGAGGGACCCCACCGG